CTTTACAATTTGAAGGAGTAAGACTGAATTTAGCCAAGAGCTCATGCAATCTAACATAAAAAAATTAATCATAGCTAATACAATACATTCTAGGTGAAAGAAACGTTTCTAGTGTTGTTGTGGATAATGCTGGCATCTAACACAAAACAAACAGGATTTGCTTGATTTTTCCTTAGTTAAACCATATAATGATTTCATTTGCAAAAAACATGAACAACATTTGCCCTTCTTCTCTACAGAATATCATTTTTTTTGTTATGAAACTAAGAAGTGCCAGAAAATTGTGTTGAAAATTGTTTAAACTTACTTCAGGTGGGTTGACTTCTCACTTGCCATAGTACACTGGAGATGTCTTCTCTCCTTGCAATTTCATTGATTTTATAAACGAAAGATTAAAATTGCTGCTTATTTCCTAGGTTCACCGAATAATCCCATTCTAAATATTGCTCTAAATCATGGGTAACTCAATAATCATTCATTCAATAATCTCTATAGGATCTAGATACAATGAATGTAGGACCTATAGAGAAAACTGAAGATGTAAAAAGTGTATATATATATATACATATACATAATATACATATTATATATATCCTTGCCATGAGGAGGTTACAATTTCATCTAGAAAGCAGATATGCAGACAACCAAAGACTACTTTAATAAAAGTAGTAGAAGAAATAAAAATTATAGGTAAAATCAATTTGTTAAACTAAAAAGTTATATAAAGAATAAACAGTATTTTAATATGATTTAGAGAGTAGTTGGAGGTTTGATTTTCAAACACAGTGACTGTTAATGTTAACTATATTTACATGTCCAAAATTTCATGAATTTATTTAGAGACATGATACCAAAGATAAAGAGAAAATTAGCTAAATAGGCAGTAGGGAAACAATAATAAGCAAGTTAATTTTTTGGATTCCATTTAGACTTGGGCTCTCTCAATCACTGTCAAACTGTCTTGTTAGTTTTCCCACAGAACACCCACGTATACTTTAGAGAGTGACCATGAAATACATGATTAACATGATCTTCCTGGATAACATCAGCACCATTAAACCACAATTATTTCACATATCACACAGAAGCCCAGAGTTACTAAATGGAGCCATAATTCTGAAATCACATCCATTCAAGAAGATTTTAGTGCCTACTTGTTTAACACAATCTTACAAATGATCCCTCACAAAGGATGTGAAAATCAACACATATCTTAATGGGCTAATTGTGCTCGCTGCAGTGTTGAGTCTATAAAAGCATTTTAATAGTGAGACAAATGATGGCAGTCTCATCTTAAATTGCAAACATAATTGCCATTCTAAATATCTTTTTGTTCCTAAGTTAAGTGCTCATTGACAGCAGAAATTCCCCCAAAACACTAATAGAGTGTTAAACATAATTTCATTTATTGAAAAAAATCCAAGGGAAAATAACACAGAGCTAACTGGAACTATTTAGCAAAGGAAAATATCAAAAGGAAAATGAAACCTTAAATTTGAGATAGGCTGCTAGGGTAGTCAACATAAATTCAACACAATAGATGTACGTTGAGGGGGGGGGTACATTTAAATATAATGATACTGAAGAAATAAAAAGCATATCCTGGAAATCCAGGATAATGATTGAGACCCACACAAAAACAAACTGCAACTAACAAGCTAAACCCTATATCATAGAATTTCTCATCATTTTATTGAAAAATGAAAATACATTTCAGCTCAACTCATAGAATATTAGTACAACTGAAATTAAATTCAATCCATTGTAAATATTATGTGGAGAACACCGAGTTTCTATCCAGTGTTTAACTTCTGTCCTACTCAATGTTTGTTTTTATTCCAACTTCTTAATTTCAATATATTCAGTGTGGGTTCAGGGTAGTGAAATCACCACTCATAATTAATTAAGCTTTAAATTAAATGTGTCAATAAAGTAATCCACATACAAATATAGGGAATATCTTCTTTTATGTTTCTAAGCAGACATGAACATATGGTGGATTGATTCTAAGCTGACATATTGCACATTAAAATTTCAAGTCCATAAGTTTTTCTATATAATAATAACATACATGTTTACTTATAAATATTGTGGATATTCAGCAAAGACTTTTTATACTATATTTGAAAAAAATTCTGATCATTCTGTAGTAGCGTTTCTTTTAAGTTGAAGTAGAAAATGCCAGACATTGATTTTTAAAAATAAGCACTAAGAAAACTAATTAAACTGGATAGCCACAAAGGGAACATTGTAGGAAAGGAAAATAGTTTGGGATTGAACCCTATGATTTTATTGTTTTCACAGAAAATGCAATAACTCCTCATTGACATCAACTGCCCAGTTGCAAGAAGAGTATATACCTTCTGCTTTGTTGAGACACAGGTGAGGCAATTCCTAAGAAGTAGTCATGAACCAAGAAGCTAATGAATTTGGGGTAAACTTTTTCCAATTTAAATGTCTGTTGAGTGGCCCTGATCTTTGAAAGGCACATTAAAAAAAATGTTTTCTGGTAAGGAACATGCGTTCAAAAGAATCCTTTGAAATCTGCCATTAAAATCAGATTAGTATGTCACCATCTTTCAAATCAATAATCAAAACAAACAAAAATAGGTCATGAAAAATACCACAGTCAATTTCATCGAGTCTTAAATACAGAACTAAATGAATTAATTGCTCTTCAAATAATACATTTTATTGACAGATCAGTTTATTATGAAATCTTTAAAAATGCATGTTTGGTGAAAAGTCAGTACAGCTGTAATTTCTATTTCACTATATTAGAAAATATAAGGAATGGGCTTATTTTAACTATTGATCACATGACGTGACTGACTAGTTGGGTGCTAATTCTGATTATTATGTTTGTCATAATTCATTGCCATGCTAAACTCAATTGTGATACATTTGAAATGAAGTGCTATTACTTTAGCCTACTGCATGACATTGTGGTATACCATGCCTCTTTCAAATGTTAAAGAAAATTTAATGACAGGCCAAACTTCAGGCCTGCTTGGTACTGGGATTCACATGGAACCAGGAAGTATTTTAAACCAGGGATACATAGCGGGTTGCAATTCATGGTGGAACTAAAGAATAAACAAAGGCTAAGTCTGTATGGAAAGAATGTAAGAGACAATTTTTTGAAAGAACAAAATAAGCGTTATTTGTTAATACTGCATAGTCAGTGAGCATTGAATATAAATCCCACAAACATGAGTGGCTATCTTTTTGTCACTTCGGGGTTTGTTGAGATGTAATAACGTTAGGCATTATGTGGCACTTCTGGAAACTAGCGTGAAAGTCATCCTATCTCTGATGCTATCAGTTCTAAGATGTATTTTATATCTTATGAAACAGAAATGCCACCAGTTCCAACTAAAATAAGCCTGATTGCAGCAATATTCAAATGTAGTGAAACAAGGATTTTTAAACTATAGAGTAATGCTTCTAATTAATGGACTCAATTATAGGCAGTAGGGGAATTACACTGTGATGTTTTTGTCTCAGAAAATTAGAGGCTTCAGTGCCTGATACCTTGCTATAAAAGAAATATAAATGGCATCATTAACTTTGAATATGTTATCAAAATGGAAGAGGGGAAATGTGTCAGTGAGCTCAATTCACAATAAATATAAAAAATATTAGGAAAAAGAAGGCAGTTGCTAAACAGTGTTTGAAAGTTCTCATTATTATTACTAATATTAAAGAAGAGGCTACTTAACATAATTTACATTTCAGTTATGCCAATATTTTCAAGTTTTCTGCATTTTTACCCATTTATTTTCAATGAAAGCAACTAAACACTTGATCTGAAGTGAAAAACATTGATTCTAATCTTGTTTGTTGGTTTACATAAGAGAACCAGAAGCTACTTGACAAATGCATTTCACTTATCACCATCTCAGTAACTCTCATTGTGAACTACTTCCTCTGATTGCCCCTTTGTTCTTCACATTCGTCCACAACTTCTCAAATATTTAACTGAAATTAATTTTGAAGTACCAGCCAGTTCTCATAAACTTTGAAGTGTTAAGTGTTCTTACTGTGTGAGAAGTTAAGAAGGATTTCAGTATTTTATGAATTCTTATTGGCAAAAGTGAAGCTTTCACTTAGAGCACTTTCGCTGTGTAGGATTACTTAGGAAAAAAGGAAATTTGTTTTCTTGGAAAGGATACATATAAACTCAAATATTCTGAACAGTTTTCTGCAAAAGCCTCGTTCCAATCAACTTAAAGATCATGGGAAAAAGGCAATGAGTTAAGTCTCTTCAGATCTAAAATATTTTTACTGATAGTATCACCTGCAAGTGTATAGATAAGAGAGCAATCTACTATTTTGGATAGTGAAGAGAAGTGGTTAGGTGTCATAAAGTGATAGTCAGGGTGAAGGGAGATTTTGCAAATATTAAACTTAGTTCTCCAGCTATAATTCACTTAAATCTCTTTGGTTTGCTAAGGTAAGTGATTTTGAAAAGTTTTCAATATGTGTTACTTGTTTGAAAAAGTCATGAAACTCATTTGTTTATTGTGTTTCATTTAAAGGACTTGGTTTCACTTAGTTCTATCACTACCTGTATAGTCTGACTGGTTCCCCCTCTTTAATTGACCATGAAAGTATTAAAATCCAAGTTCATATTTGTTTCCTTATTTTACCTTCAAATGTTTAACATGTATTACATGTCTTACAAATATAGGCGTGTGCATCAGGGAATTGTTATTAAAATTTCTTCCTGCAGATATTAAGGTAGATGAACCCCTGACGATTTATCCCATGATAAAATAACCAATAAACTGTGTAACTAATCTCATTTTAGTGATAAATGAACACTGCTCAACAAACACACATACCGCTTGTCATACCTTACCTGGAAAGAGGCTTTATTGAACAGAGCTGTAAAATTATATTTTAAGATGAATTACTGAATTTGCACAAACATTTCTACAGATTTGTTTTTTTAAAAAAAATCAAGCTTCATCATTTTCTACTACATTTTGTTGTGCTTTTTATATTAATAATTGCAAATGTTATAATTAATTTAATGCTTATATCCCAATTACTTGCATAATCAGTTTTTTTTTTTTAATCCTGGGGTGTTGAAAGAACATATAATAGTAATATTCTCCTTTAGACAAAAGTCTTTTTAAATGAAGTTAAAAGCTGAGATAATTTAAGGAAAAAGATCTTCAAATTTTCATAATCAACAAGTTTAAGTGAAATTTACAATGCATTGGAAAACTGGCTGGTTAAAGGTATGATTTGTCCTCAGGTAGCTCAAAATCATTTTTACAGGTTTTTGTTTTTTTGTAAAAGTGTTTTTTAATCTTGGTAAAATAATAAAATAATATTTCACAATTTGCACAGAGTCTGACTAAAGGGCAGAGGCATATGACCCTCAGTGTTTGGAATAAAGCCGGATTTCTCAGGCCCAGTTCCGCTGCAGTTTGTATGCACTGCAATCACAAACATTTTCTTGTTCCCTCTAAAGCTAGGGCCAATTTCATTTCAAATGGAGGTTAGAGTAAAAAAAAAAAATCACTTTTGTGTTTTACCACCTTCTAAGTATCATCTTAATCACCTTTTGCTCTGGTTGACCCATTTAATAACCTGGAAGAAAAAGTGTTGCTCCCATGTCTGGTCTGAATGGAAGTTATTCTCTAATGGACAATATGCCGAAAGGCCATGGCTGTCTAGGAGGTTAAACAACAAATATCTTGTCTGCTTGGGCTTACGCAGCAGCTCCGGTCCCTTCTTCTTCAGAAGCGGCTCTGTTGTCTTGCCTGTCGTTTGCACATTTAGGCTCTGCAGTTTGTTTATAAAATAGTTTTACACAAACCACTCGTAGCAGTGCAAGCTTCTGAGTTGAAAATTATTCAGGCTTGTTTCATTGAAGGCACTTGGTTTCCATGGCAATTTATAAAAGATGGTGGTTTGGTTTCTTCATTGAACAGATGACGTAGTTTGGGTGTTCAAGTGGCCGCAAGCAAACTCCGCTAAGCCTGTGTAATATGTAAGCCCAGGTTTACCGTCCTGGAGAGCAGTGCATGCAAGAAGAGACAGCATACAGTTATCTAGCTTAGCCATGGGAGGAAAATAATAATTAATAATAATAATGATAATCAAGGTAGGACGGGAATAAGGTGGGGAGGAACATGAACGCCTTAAATAATTCTCAGTTCGGGTTCTTTGCAAGGAAGGGTAACAGCCAAAGGTAAAAGGGCCTACATTTATTTACTTCTCTATGTAAAACCTTCTTGAAAGGAAAATAAATGCCAGCTCTTCACGTACCCTGTTTACAGTGAGGTTTTTGTTGGCAGGCCATTAGGTTTCCATGGTAACAAGCAAAGTATTCATTTGAAACAAAACCAGCCATGACTTTGTGCTTTGACAAGGATTTCTATAGCTCTTTCTTTCTTCTTCTTCTTCTTCTTTTTTTCCCAAGAGTTCAACCAGATGACGCCGTAATCTTTTTAGCCACAAAAGCACCTGAAGGTCTCTTCTCAACTCAGGTCAATATTATCTTTTATATGTAGTTTGGAATAAGTTATACTTCCATGACATCTTTTTATCCCCAGTGCTTAAAAAATTTGTTTTTATTATTTTATTTTTGAGTCAGTAGTCAGTGGAGGAATCTTTGGTAGTTTGTTTTTTCAGTGTCCATTTACAAAGACTCTTTCTTCATGCCAGTGCCTGGTGAATCTTGTATAGCCTCTGCCAGGATAAGGTCACCTTCGAGGACTTAAGATAGAGATGAGGACGATAACTGGAAAAAGCCATATATGAACTAAAATCCCAACAGCACCATCCACGGAATCTGAAGATAGGGCAAATAAATGCCAAAAAAGAAAAAAGAAAAGAGAATAAGCCTTCCATGCAGCTACTAATATAACTTCAGCGAACTAATAAAATTTATTGTCTGGAAAGCATTATTAGAAAGTTTGTCATTTATAAACTCCATTTCTAAGGCAAGTGAAAAGGAAATCACTTGAATACATGGTTAGAGATTTCCTAAGATATTATTCACAGATTTTTAATGGCTATAACATGCTATGAAAACTTGTTCTGGAGATATTCTTGTGGGTTTGTGCTGGACCTCATCCTCACAGTTCTGCTAACTATGTGAAACAGTGCACACAGAAAAATTCTCAAATTATAAAGAGATGAGTTTAAAAGACAAGCAAAATTCCAAAAGTATTTAAGGCTTGAAGACTGAGATTAAACTGCTCTTGATGGAAACTAGGAATAGATGACAATGAGGAAGGAAAAAGAGTTCTTTTTATATTAACTTTTAGAGGCAACATGAAGTCCATTCTAACTAAAAACTGCATTATACCAATGTGACATGACATTCCTACTGTAGCTGATATTGCAATGAAAGCCACATGTCCAGGTGATACCTCTTGGAATGCATCCCTTAAGCAAGCATAAGCAAACATGGTGAGGCATTGACCTGGGCTACATTTACAAAATGGCTTTACCTAGGGGAGATTTGGAATTTGAAAACAGAGACACACAGTCTTAGCTCTGGGGGATGAGGGCCATGGAACCAAAGAGTGGGAAGGGTTGGGAGTCTGAGGAGGATTTTGACTCGCAGGCTGGTCTGCACTTAGAACATTGTATATACGTGTTAAAATAGTCACCCATGTTTCAGAATTTACTAGGTTGGGTGGGTGAAATTAATACTGAAAATATTGTGGTGTGCATTAATGAACTCCCTATAGGCACTCATATTCATTTTACTGTGATTCCTCTGACCATTTCTGGTTTCTCTCTAGGGAATAAATTTTGTTCTCCTGCTCTCCTCTTTTGGATAGTTAACTCAATTTGTTGAACTAAATATATGGTATTTTCTAGCAATCAAATTATAAAAGTGTAAGATTCCTGTATAGAAATGATGACTACTTTCAGTTAATATGTTACAGCCACTGATTCATGCTTTGAAATTTAAATAGAATTTCATTATTCTCCAAGGAGAATGCAAGATTTTCTGTACATGACACAAACCTGGTTCATGCAGGCACAGCTACTAGTTTACTAGTTTTCTAAAGCAAAATTTAGCCAGACTCAGGCAGAAGTTGTTACTAAATGTGATGAAATGCTAAGTGTAATGGCAAGAAACTATGAGCAAATGGCTCATTGTTATCCACAATCTTAGTATTTGTCTTATTACAATGCTTAAAAATGGAGGTAATTCAGTTCATAGGAGCAATCACTGGATAGTTGTACGAATTTGACTTTCAACATCTAGACTGATAACTTAGCATGTTTAGTGAGAAACTTTAACAAAGACTCTGATTCGCTCTAGACTCACACAACATTGATTTTAATGCTTTGGTATGTACTGAATCACTGATGAGTTATTTGTGTAAATTTGTCTTGATTGCTACCTCTTTATATGACCACAAAATTAGAGTCCAGATTAGCCTAAGAAAATCCTTCAACAGGAAGAACCTCTAATCACAAAGATATTACATTTGTCAATTTCAAATGTATAACAGGGAGATTAAGATTTTAATAGGCAGATGAAGAAGAGTTTAATAGCTTAAACATAGTTATAATGCTATTTGTATTTTTTTATGTCTATGGTTAAAAAATATATTGTTAAAATGTAATCAAATCAGGAAAATAACTAAAAACCAAATTATTAATCAAGACTGAGGAACTAACAGGAGATTAATTATACTATATAAAATTAGGGTTCTCTATTCTGCAATACGTGTACTAAGAATTTTTGTATGAAATGTGTTACAGTAATTGGCATAAGTTAGATCTAAGAAATATATACCTAACCTGGTGATATAAGGACAACTATGGTTGTATAAATGTGTGCTGAGTATGTACATTCAATAAAAGCTTTTTGAAATAAATAGTATACATTAAAATATTTAAAAATATTATTTAAAAATGAAAGTGTGGTTGCCTTAAATAGAAAAAATAAAAATTACTTTTATCATATGACAAGCTGCCTACAATGAAATTTTATACTTTGATTTAAAAATATCTTCAAAATGTTAACATCTTAGATATTGGAAATTTCTAAGTAAATTAAAAATAACATTTGAAACAGTAGAATATATTAATTTACTAGTAGTTTCACTATTGTAATGTCATATCAAACCAGTCCAAGATAAGACACTTACTCTTAGTCGTTAGGTCTTGTTTTGCACACTCTCCTTCTGCAATTGATACATCATCAATGGCAATGTCTCCTTCTATTCCAGGACCTCGAATACCTTCGAAAATGAGCTACAAATGTGAATGAAACAAACCTAAATGAGCTGCAATTTGTTGATCAATTTTACTGAGAAGTCAAGGAAACAAATGTCAATAATTCTGGCGTAATTTATTCTTGATTGTTTTCAAAACTGTTACTCACAAAAATGTAAACCTAAAAGGGAACATGGAATCCATTATGGAATTGCATAGTATCAGTTTCTCAACACTAAAAGCATTGTGTCAATTTTAGAGCAAAACTAAATCTAATTGGGTAGTAACAGTAAAAAACACCAACTAAATTCCTCTTTTCTGGAGCAAGCGGCAGTTCGTATTTGAGCAATCTTCCTCTCAAATAGAGTCCTTTCAGTTTTCTCTAAACATATCTCAAAAATTAGTGTTTTAGAAACATTTTTTTTAAATGAATCAATTCTGGAGTCTTAAGAGTATTATGTTTATGGAAGCTAAGAACAAAACTTTATCAACTCTGTAATAGTTTATTCTTTTGTAAACAGGTTGAATAAGTTCCGCATACATCTATGCTTTACATTTTGATACCCTCATTTTAAAAGTTGAAGATATTTATGAGTCCACTGGTGTTGAACGTCTCCTGGTAGGCCTATGGATTTCCTGTCTGTAACAGTGTATGGCACTGGGGCTTTACTCGTGAGATTGAAAGAAGAGATTAGTGAAATCAGATTGCCCTTGTGACTTCATTGTAGATATAATGACAACATATGGACAATTAGCAAATTTTTGTTTAACAGCAACAAGACTCTGGGAATTTTCTCTAACCTTCAAATACTTCCGGCATAACCTTTCATTCTTTTGATCCTATAAGAAAGCCTATGCATTTAATGATTTTTTTAAAAAAAAGTTTTATTTATTTGAAAGTCAGAGTTACAGCCAGAGAAAGAGAGATGGAGGGAGGGAGGGAGGGAGGGAGATCGTCCATCCACTGGGTTCACTCCACAAATGGCCACAACATTCAAGGTTGCTCCAGGCTAAAGCCAGGAGGCAGGAGCTTCATCCAGGTATTCAAAGTTGGGCCAGCATCTGCTGCTAGGTGCATTAGCAGGGAGCTGAATCAGAAGTGGAGTAGCTGGGACTCAAACTGGTGCCTATATGGGATGCTGGCACCAGAGGTGGTGGTTAACCTGCTGTGCCACAGTGTGGGCCCCCCCAAATTAGTGATTTGTAGTCACAGAAAAGAAAGTCTGAATATCAGAATGAACTATGTAGTTGGTCTTTCCAAAGAAATGGGCATTTTATGCAGCTCTTAAGATTCCACTAGGGAAGCCCAAATCCCAAGAACCTGTTTCAAGTCCAGGTTCTCCTTCTGCTTCCAGTTTCCTGCTAGTGATGTGTCCTGGGAGGCAGCAGACGATGGCTCAAATACTTCAGTTTCTGCCACTCACATGAGAGACTCAAACTGAGTTCCTGGCCCCTGGTTTTGGCTTGGACCAGCCCTGGCTGTTCCAGGCATTTAGTGAGTGAACCAACAGACAGAATCTTAGAATCTCAATATCTTTCTCTTTGGTCATTTAGGGAATGAAATGATAGATGGAATGTCAAAATCTCAATCTCTCACACCCTCCCTCTCTCTTTCTCCTTCCTTCTTCCTCCCTCTTTCTCCTTCCTTCATCTGCCTTTCAAATAAAATTTAATAACTTTCACAGACTAATTAGCAAAGCTGTTTCTAATACCAAACCGATGTGTGTGATTTTATACAATTTCTATTCTTATTTCATTACAACAAATTTGAGTGAAAGTGTATTCTTCCCTTTTCCTTTAAAAACAACTTCTTAATGGCAAATTTAAGATGATGTTCAGAAAAACATAGCTCCTTTAGAGAAAATGGTCGCCTGTTTTTTCATATGCTGTCATAGTTTTCTCACTGGAAATCGCTAAGTAGTCTGCAGAAGTATTGGTTTTCAACTTTGGTATTGAGTTGTGTCCCCCATTTAAACAGCCCCTAAGAATAATTTTCACAATCAGATAGAGTAAAACAGGTGTAAGGAATTTTTATTAATAGAGTTTCCTGATTACTTATGTTGAAATAAAGATGTTAATCAAGATTGCCCAAAGGCATGTCTTAGGTGCTTACAACAGATGCCCTTTAACATATTCATAAATTTCCCATCTCATTGAGCTATCTGTTTGAAGGTACTGTCTTGTTCTTACCAGCAAGTTTTTAAGGCTTTCAGGTATTTTTTTTTTCTTTGCTATGTGCTTCTTACCTGATAGAGAGTCAATTTTAGAATAAGTCCTTAGCTAGCCCCAATCCCTAATATGAAGGGAATTTTATCTTGGAAAAAGAACTTAGATTCCTGCTGAGTCAGTCTGGGTCCATATAATCAAACATTTTTCACTCCAGCCACAAGGCTAAAACTTGGTTGCCTGAAAGTGTAATACTGCCATTACAGTAAGCTTTATAACATATCCTAAATAATTAAATCCTAAATAAATTAATACATATGGATGCATGCATACCAGAGAGGTTTTAATTCTGGAGTGCAGAAGTGAGAATGCTTTACATGGGAAAATTGGGTAAATGGAGAAATCTCAGTCATCCAGAATTTTAATTTCAAAGGATGGAATTGGGAATGAAAAAGAAGTAACTGCTGCCTATTGAGTATGATACAGAGTTTGCACTGTAGCCATGGGGATAATAAGAGTGATACACTGTCATCTTTGTGTATGGAAGTAGGATGTAGGCGAAGACTCCAATAAAGAAAGGGTGGAATGTTTCCTCGGCAGCTGACACTTGAAATTCATACAGATGAAGCTGAAGTCAGTGCTGTCATGGAGGTGGATGCTGAAGAGATGAGCTTGGTAGCGCATGGACTTCCCTTAGCTTTCTAAGAGTAGTCGGCTTGTTAAAAATATCCACAATTTTTAAAGTACGTAGTGATTGTCCCTTTGTATGTTCATGATATCTGCAGGTAAGGGTCAATCTAAAATCATGAGATTATGTTAAACATCAAAACTAAAATATATAAATCAACGAGGTCATCATTGAACTTTTCAAAGTTGCTTTCTCTGGAAAGCTACATTTTAATTATAATGATCTTGCCATTGCTCATTCTCCTGACTTCCTGTCTGGCCTGATCAAAATCAGATGGCTGGACCTAGACTTGTGCTAGAGATAAAAGTTAGGGACAGTAACTTTTATGGTTCAATTGAGAGCAAGTGCTGTGAAGCTGCTCATAGCACACACCAGAGGGGAAATTGGCTGACAAGTTCATTTGTTGTTGCTGGCAATATATTGACTACAAGTGTGTTGTTAGTCAAACAGCAAAAATAAAAGTGAACAATGGTCATGCTGTCATGTTTTTGGAGGGTTCCATATACCAAGAACACTACCATAAATGAATGCTTCATCCTCTGGTGATAATAATGAATGAAGTGGTACAGCAATAAAAACTGCTTGCATTTACAGCCATGTAAATTGTAATTTGCCACTGAATGAAGCAGGTTGATTTTTTTCTTATACATGTGTAAGTACAGCATGAGTTACAAACATTGTTAGGAAAAACATCATGGAATTATTAGCTATTTACTAGTATGATAAAATAATTTCTGAGTATTAAAACTCTTGGAACAATCATAATTAATGTCTTCCTATTTTCTTTTTGAAATCTTGTGATGATATGGATATAATTCAATAGACCAGACAAATATTGTTGATTTCCTCTGGGTCTTTTTTGAGAAGAGAAAGGTGCTGAGCAGTATATGTGTTTCTTTTGATTTCCATATAGTTTTGCTATTGGGAAGGTATTAGTTGTTTTCTTTATATCCATGTTAACTATGAGATATAGAAATGAAATGCATAGGTATCAAATTTAAAGTATATACCTGAGCCAAAGTGTCAATTGTTTACAAAATATAAATCTTGGCTGACAAACAACTTTTTCTTCAAGATAAGCATGAGACATAACAATAGTCCATTAAAATATGTTGTATTTCAACATGGAAGTTGTGATCTGGATACATTGGAAGTAAATCTGTGTCATGTTGACGTTGAGCAAAAAGGTTATCTAATTTTAAAAGTTAAATTGTTATGTTTTTACAAAGCTCACCTTGATTCTATGATTGCATCACAGAGATTAAAGTATGTTCCCTTCCTCTTCAGTTTCTCTAAAATGGATTTGGTTTAACTGACTTGAAGAAGGAATTGAATTGCATCTGGATACCCAGGTAAAAAATGTGGAAGTTCAGGTCTCCCTTTCTTTACACACAGTCATGTTGATAGTTTTGTAGTTTTCCTTAATGGAAATGACAAGTTTAAAATTTAAGTGTTTTCCTAGTGTATGCATGTGATTCTGAAAACCTGATATGCAAAAAGTACTGTATAATAAGGCAAATAACTCTTAGTGTGGAAATTTATATGACTTTTTTTTAATCTAGAAACCTTTTATTTAAGGTATACAAACTTCATGAATTTCATATATACAAATTTAGGAACATAGGGATTCTTCTCACCCCGCCCTCCCTCCTTACTTCTCACCCACCATTCTTCCTTTTCCCTCTCCTAATCTCTGGATGGCAATTTTTTAAAGTGCACTACTGTATTAGAATAACAGCACACAAAATTGTTTCTATTAAGCAGCTGATTACTTTCTGATATTAAATATAATGCTTTAAAGCATATATATTAAATATCAATATTTAAACACATATATGATGCTATTAAAAGTTGTAGTATTCGGATATAATTTCTCAGCAAGAATAGCTTCACATAACACTAATGAGTAAAAGTTGATAGAGACACCAAAGAACAAAATGTATTTCGGATTATATGATATGCTTTTTTTAATAGTGTCTTCTGCAAATGTGGGTAACATTTTCTGACAAGAGACAAACCATTCTGATTACTACTGATGAAACAAGTACAGTAATCTGAGCTTGAAAATCGACAGCGTATATCACTTTGGGAAACTGCAGGAAATGAATACATGTGAAAATAGCTATTATCAACAGTGTTACCTTTATTTTGTTACTTATTTATTCAGCACATAACAGAACTATCTTCAATTAATAATATTATTTGAAGAAAGGCAACATAATATGCCAACTAGGTGGACTTGTCCGTTTCCCCAAGTGAACCCGAGGCAGCTAGAGTGTCCAGAGCAGAATACCAGAAAAAAGGAGTTGCATAGAGACAGAAGCATGAACAAGATCTGCCTTGAGGATTCAGCATAGTACCGATTAGGACATGAATATAAGGAAACAACACAAGATCTGGAGGAACTAAAATGATGCACTTACTTACTAGTGCCCAGCCCACATAGGACTGGGAATGGTAATATGACCACCAACAAAACTGGAAAACCTTGTAATTCAATGGTTACTGCATAACGTACTCAGAAGACTGTCAATGGAGTTGTATGAAATAATTTGCTGTCCTCAAAACACTGCTTCAGTTTGCACTAGCAAATTTTAAAAGCAACACCTAAGAAGATCAGACTGTTTCCAAGTTTCTATATCCTCCAAAAAGCCAAGAATCATAAAAATCTCTGGCGTCTGTGAAGGTATAATGCACATTGCCTGGCACACAATCACATTGCCAGACTTGCAAAGAAGTTGGAAAGTAAAGATGCGCAATGGGAAGAAAAATCAGTCCACTGAAACCAACCAGGAACTGATACAAATGTAAGCATTAGTAGATAATGCCTTAAACCAGTATAACTGAATTTCACATCCTGAAAACAACAACTGGACATATAAAAATATTTTCTAAGAAGATTCACATTGAACTTGTAGAGATGACCAATGACTGATAGAAATGAAGGAAGATTGGACATTGTGGATGAAATGATTATAAATGTGACAATACAATTGAAAGTACCAAAAAGTAAACATGAATAGAAAAAAGTTTTAAGTGACAAAAAAGTATAAATGATATGTAGAACACAAGGAGCTTTATATTTGTTTTTATTTATTTATTTATTTATTTATTGACAGGCAGAAGGAGAGAGACAGACAGAAAGATCTTCTATTACCGTTGGTTCACTCTCCAATGGCCCCTGTGGCTGGCACACCACGCTGATCCGAAGCCAGGAGCCAGGTGCCTCTCCTGGTCTCCCATGTGGGTGCAGGGCCCAAGCACCTGGGCCATCCTCCACTGCACTCCCTGGCCACAGCAGAGAGCTGGCCTGGAAGAGGGGCAACCAGGACAGAATCCAGCCCCCCGACCAGGACTAGAACCCGGTGTGCCGGCACCTCAGGTGGAGGATTAGCCTAGTGAGCCGCAGCGTAGGCCAAGGAGCTTTATATTTGCATATTCGGAGCCTTCAAAGGAAAAGGGAAGCAAAACTATGTTAAGAAGGAGAAAATCCGCCAGCGCCGCGGCTCACTAGGCTAATCCTCCGCCTGTGGCGCCTGCACACCGGGTTCTAGTCCCGGTCGGGGCTCCGGATTCTGTCCCGGTTGCCCCCCTTCCAGGCCAGCTCTCTGCTGTGGCCAGGGAGTGCAGTGGAGGATGGCCCAGGTGCTTGGGCCCTGCACCCCATGGGAGACCAGGAGAAGCACCTGGCTCCTGCCATTGGATCAGCGCGGTGCACTGGCTGCAGTGCGGCGGCCATTGGAGGGTGAACCAACGGCAAAGGAAGACCTTTCTCTCTGTCTCTCTCTCTCACTGTCCACTCTGCCTGTCAAAAAAATTTAAAAAAAGCATACTATTTAAAAAAAAAGGAGAAAATCCTCAAATTACACGCAAACCATAAAACCACAGACCCAAGTTAAATGAATCTTAAGCACATAAAAATGAAGAAAAATACATTAAAGCCCAGCCTTATCAGATTTCTCATAAACAATGATAAAAAGTATCTTAAATCAGAGGGAAAAAGACACATAGCATAAATATAAGCATTTCTACAAGATTATCATGGGAAAAAATACGAGATGGCAGTGAGATATTCAAAGTTTAGAAAAAGGGATAAATCTTTCAACGAATAAAGATTGAAAAGACCCTGTTCTTCAAGAAATGTTGAATGTAGTCCTTTAGGCAAAAGGAAATTGATACAGATGAAGATAGGGATGTAAAATATTAGATTAAGTGTACCAGAAATGGTGCAAATGCTGAGTGCCACCTGTATAAATCTGATCTGATGTTTAAGTTGGAATGAGAAGAGTTTATGAATGCAGAGAGTAAGGCTCTCTGAGGTTGTAACCATTATGAATAAAGCTTCAGTCATCTGAACATTCCTAAACATCTCCTTTGAACATACTTTTTCTAGATTTAATATGCAAATCTCTGAGGCTACAGAAAACCTGTTTACATTTTCGGGAAAATGTGAGAAACCTCTGCTCTGAGTTCACTCTGACTCCAGTCTTCCTGATAACAAAAGACTGTCTTCTTGAAGTTCCTCATTTTAATGAATAATCCTGAGAAGAAGATGGAATGAATTAAGATTGGCCAAATCACAAACAAAATCAACTCCTTTGCACAAAAGTAGAACAACAAACTTGGAGCTAGTCCTTTGCTTCTTTTATTTTCCTAATGGAACTCCTATCATTTCATGCAATGTGTGGCACATATACACTTAAGACTCCCTAATTGAAAAATTCTTAGTCATCCATAACTACTTCCCAAATTCAAAACATTAATCTGCTAGTTATTATCTAAGCATATCTTGGGTTTGTTTTCTATCATTGTCCTTCAAAATCTTTTAAAATTTTCTTAACTGCTTTGCCAACCCCGCCTGCTATATAACCTGAGTGTACCATAGCATCATGGGTGAAATATTTTTGATGACTCCCCATTGCCTAAGCCCTCATCAGTCCTAGATTTATTTTCAAGCACCAAAATTCTAGATAAACAGCTTTGTATTTCTCCGGCAAATCCTGTGGGAGATGACCTTGATGTTTCTGTTTGCTCCACACTTTGCCAGAATCCCACTGCTGGCCTCTTGTCTGTTTTGCGACTCTGCTGGATTCAGGTTTTACCGCATAATAAGCTTTTCTTGACCCTACTGACTACTCTTCCTGTTGGTTGGGCATGTTTACAGAACTTTGTGCATATCTATATTGTTGCAATTATTACAAGTATAGGATTTACCTGCTTAGATGTATCTTTGCATCAATGTGAGGCAAATAATCATTTTTAAAAATCTCCCTGCCTTGCATTGTGCTTGGCCTATAACAGGAATTCAAAAAATATTTTTGCTCCACTGTCTATAAGAACAAATACTTGTTCTGAAGGTGTTCAGAATGCTTTTTTAAGTGAGTGCAAATGCTAATAAAGGAGAATCCTGAAGGCAAAATTAATATGACTGCACTGCTTGATCTTGTGTATGTATTCCATTTAATAATTTACTGTTGGAGAGAAGTCAAGGAAGAGACAAAATACCTCTACAATAACATCAACCTTTTAGAAAGAAAAGCTTTTTGAGGCCTACATAAATTTTTAATTTAGTTTACATGTTGGCATATATTGAATTTTCATAATTGTATTGTCCTTCAAAAACAAAACAATAATTTTTTCAGAGTCTTATGGTTGGGGTTGCTGTTATGTATTTGTACACAGTTGGCTAGTCTTAATTATTTCTTTACCATTGTGAATAGCTGTATGCATTTTAACCATCCTGCTTAGATCCAGAAGTGCTATCTCTAAAATTAGAATCTTATGTTAAAAGAGGAAGGCATTCCACCAACTAAATATTGGAGCAGTATCATATTTTCTATATGCATCTAATAAATCATTAGAAGAAACAGTGCTATAATCTCATAAAAGTATTTTATTCCTTTCAACATAAGGGATAGATCTATAAAATGTATGATTAGATTTTAAAATCACTATATTTTAAAAATATGAAAAAACTGGTTATTTGTAGGATATTTATGTTTATAGTTATTAGATCACTGAAAGTGTATTAACATCATTGAAATAGTTTCACGATCTCATCATTCGTTTTGATGGTCACTGTTAAAATCTCTGTTTTTTTTTATAATTAGCTCTCTTCTATCAATTAGAACCTTACTTATGTCTACATAAACAAAGTAACTTCTATAAAGTGGTAAATTACTGAAATGACTACCTTGAACATTAACATTTTGTTAAAGGTGTATGAAATTCCAAACACACTAATTGACTAGCCAGTTCCATTCATATAAAACCTGGATTGTTTTTCTTCACAGAATAAAATATTTCATGTGATTTTTATAGAAATGGAGTGCATTTTCTCCAGGTGAATTATTTTAATTTTAGTATACTATTATTCAAATTAAAAGGGGCATTTTTCCCTGTAAGACAGCCATTAGTACTAGTGGGGAACTTTATCTGTGATGGCCATATCACAGGACTCCTGAACACTCATATTTGAGTATTTTTCAAGCACTGGCTTTAATGCTATGCTCCCATAGAGTTACCTATCTTTCTTACCTGAAATGAAGTAATAGGATAAATATTAACATGAGCCTCATTCCATCGTTGTCCTTTATTCCCACTGGAAGACCACAGTGGATTCTCTATTGTCGTCTGCCCTTTCAATCGTAGATAAACATTTAAAACACCTAAAAAATAACAATGACATTTTATTTTGTTTAATTTTTTGCTTCACAATAGTTTCTCCTCCAAAAAGTAGAAACTTTTAAACGTGTAATTTCTCAATTGATTCTAGTGTTTCTTCTCATTTCTTACCTTACACTTTCGGCGTGTGATATTTGATCCAAAGATAACCATGACCTAGTACCTAGAACTTGTAAATGCTACCTTACGTTGCAAAAGGGATCTTATTGAAAATAGGAAGCATGTAGTCTACAAACTGTACTTTACCATGAAGTTTTTTTTTTCAAGAATATATGATGCTTCGAGTATGTGCCAGAATAACTTTAATTTTTTTTTCTCTGTGATTCTTTATTTTCATTCTTAAATTATAGACGGCAATTCTATGGTGGCTTTCCTAAAACAACTTTGAGAGTTCTTTGGTATCATTTTACATAGACATTATATGTTTGTTGAGTACCATGACCTCCTGTTCTGATTGAGAGGAAATTGAAACTATCATCAAATCAATATATGGACATTTTAAATATATTATATTACATACAATATATTCTGTAGATGCATCAGTTTTAGTTCACTAACAAAATAATGCATGTCTTTTAGAATTAAGGGATATATGCTTTAAAGAAACACATTTACAACATGACTTATTATTATATTACTAATAAGGTCTTGTGCCAGAATTGAAAAAGTGTTTTCTCAGCAATATGCTTTGCCAATGACCATGTTTACATTTCTTAATTAACATTTCCATTTCTAGATATATAGTATAAATTCAAATGAATTTAACTTAGGTTTATTGAATATATATTATGTGAAAAATATTTTGTCTAGGTAGCTCCAAAGAAACCAGGTCTGAATTATTGTAGACTTTAAATTAGGTTTTCAAACAGATAAAACAGGCTGTTTTCATTTGTGGCTGTATTTTATTTATATAAAATATACTTGCTTTACAAGAAAAAGACACTAAAATTATATTATGGGTCCAGCTCTGGCTGTTGCAGCCATCTGGGGAGTGAACCAACAGATGGAAGAGCTCTCTGTCTCTTTATCTCTCTCTTTGTAACTCTTTCAAATAAATGAATATTAAAACAAAGAATAAAAACAAGACTTAGAGTGAGGTCAGACATTGCATTTTTAGACATGTTGAGTTGGGAAGCAATCCACACAGCAGACTCATAGAATGACAATTGATTTAAATAGCATACTGACCTCAGAATGAGTCCTTAAAGCATTCTGGTATGACTGAAAAGCCCATGAGAGCATTTTAGGCATGGAATTCTAAGACATTGTGGGAAAAAAAAATTCCTGCATGAAGGATCTTCATGAATGAGACCCCAGTGGAAAGAAGGGGCCATCAAAGAAGAATGTACTTTTCTCAGAAGGGAAGAGAGAATTTTCATTTTGTCTTTGGCCTTGCCCAAATACTGACAAAGACTGTGGTCTCAAAAGGCTTCCATAGCCTGGGCAACTCATGGCAAGAGCCTTGGGTGATCACTGATGTCACACATAAGAGTGTTAATTAACAGCAGGAGTCACTGTGTACTTACTCTCCATGCAGGACCTCTGTCCTAAATGAGTCATACTATGAGATTTAAATGTAAAACTTGTTCTCAGTTTTTTTTTTTTAATATTGAATGCATGTGTTTGTGCACAAATATTTGAATCTCTGTTTGAAAAAACAAAATATTTGAAATCTTTACTTAGTACAGAGCTTGTCTTCTGTGTATAGAGTTTATTGAAAATGAATCCTAATGGAGAATGGGACTGGGTGTGGGAGCGGGAGGAGGAAAGGCGCATGGAGTGGGTGTGGTTTGTGGGTATGGTTGGAAGAATCACTGTATTTCTAAACATGTACTCATGAAATTTATACTCACTAAATGGAAGTTTTAAAAAAATTATAACTGAAATAAAGCTTTTAAACATAATTTTATTGCCTTATTAAGTACATAGTAATAATTATCATGCTAATCAATGAATACAAACTACTTATTCACTGGTATATTTTAGAGGCTGATTAATATACCAATGACCTTGAAACTCTCCTCTCCCAGCAAGTTTCTAGTTCTTAAGTTTATAAAATAGAGCTCAATGTTAAAAGATATTTAAACTTAGGGCATCTTGGTCAACAAAGTTAGAACTTGTGAAACAGTATAAAGCTGTTGAAGCGAAGATGAATTCAGCAAAGCTGATTCAGCAAATAATAGGGCGTTGTACTAAGAAAATGGCAAAGCGAATATGATGGATTGTGTTAATACCCTTTAAAAGTAATTTTAAATCTTCAGAGACTCTGTATTTACGCTTTAGTGGGCACCAGATACCAAATCATATGAATTTAAATCATCCCCAAAGATTTTCAAAGGCTGTATAATTCCAGGATAAAAGTTTGAAGCAGTTAAGCAAAACTTAAACTGTCTTTTTTTCCCTCTTGGTTGCTAATACTCATCTTGATCACCTCTCCCCAAGCATCATATCATCTCCCATATGCCAGAGGGAGAATGGACTTTGGTAATCTCTTAAAGTTAAGGATTTACATTCATAAAAAGAAAAACTATCTAAATGCTCTTTTACCTCTTGACCAAAATTTGGGGACCATCTTTGGCATATGAAAAAGAAGTATTGTTACTTTAATATATTATTACATAGAAATTGGCATATAAAACATAATTTGCATAAATATTATCATTACTATTGCCTTGTTCTCATCTTTCAATCTTTAATATTTTACCATTATTTTACTATAAATATGTATTGCATTTATTTTAGAAACATTTATGTATATGTCCAAAACTGTGCATATATACTTCTAATAGATACTTGAAATTGCCAAGTTCACATGAATTAATTTGTGATTTGGTTTAACTAAGACCTGGAAATCCCTTGCATAAAAATAACGTTGTTATTATAATCAGTAACACAGACTCATTCGAGTTTCACGTTTCATGAAAGGTGAGGATGTGCCAAAATCATCCGGCTCCATGCGAGATCTATGTAAATTGATAGGTAATTGTTGGCATCATTTGTTGTATTCATACATACATAATGAGAAGTCATAGAATCATTATTTTCTGCTTCAACAGAAACGGCTGTATGCATCCATTATTTTTCCAGCACATAATTACAATTGTATCTTAAATAAAAACTGTCAGTTCACTTTTTTTCAGTTATTACTGTAACTTCTGGAATCCACTTAAACCTGTGCATTAGTGTGGTAACAGATTTTCCAAAACATAGATTTCATGAGGCTTTCTATTTCTGTGACTTATGTCACATCCCGTAGGCGGATCTTTTCACTCTTTGGTTGTATTGCTGTTCCCATTCTTCTATTATGTAACAATATTTCACATTCCTGCAGCATGGCTACTTCTACTTCCTGCTTACCTACCTCTTTTGGAGGATGCCTTGGGTTTCTCCTCGCCCACAGAAACCCATGTTGCTCCCCCTTGTGGATGCACAACATGGCCTGCCATACTTGAATACATATCACTACCTGACTTTGATTTTATTCAGTAATTTACTATCTGAAATAAGCTATATGATGGATAAGGACTCCTACCATAGTTCTTTCTATCCTGTATCGAATTCAAAGTCTATAGGCACACATATGCAGTTTGTGCCATTGAATACAATTAAGTGAATTCAAGACCTATGGGTAAAAATACCCTAAACAAGAAATATTTACTTTCACTGAAGTTAGTTCAAAAAGTTTTGTTAAGAGTGGGTAAGAAACTGAAGTGGTAAACTCACTTGGTTACCATTAATTCAATAGGTTAGATGATCTTTTCTGTAAATTACAGTGGAAATAAACTTGTATATTTTGAAACACAGCCAATTTGGCCTGTTTATTAATTTGGTTTAAGCATACTATCTCCTATTATCCACGATATTGGGTCATCAACAATTAAGAATCAAATAGGAACAAAATAAATGTATAGGTAGTTGGTAGTTTGAAACCAGATACCTAAAGGTCAATGAATTAGCTGTTAAAGTTTCATTAGAGGGTCAGTAACAAGTGTCTGTTATAAGGTTTACATTGTAAGTGCTAGTAAATCATGACTAGATTCAATCTACTCCCTGCCCTTTAAAACATGAAGGCACTTCAAATAGTTGGTAAAAAATAGATTTAACAGACAATATACATTTTCCACAAATTTTTAAAAGATTCTCTCACACCTTTTTTTAAACAAAGAGGTTTACTGAATGAACGTCTTGCACCAGTAGCATTATTTTCACTGTGATGGCACTGGCATGATTAGTATAAAATGCACACTGGGCTTCACTCAGCATTGACTAATGCTTACCAGAAAGAGGCTTAATGTCACTATTACCAAACAGCTCACTCTTTGGTAGCAACACTCAGTGATCTTTTCGATTTCCTGTTACCTTGGAATGGCTTTTTTGCAAAGAATTTAATTTTGAGAATGTTATCAAAATATAAGTATTTTATAAACTCATTTTACTGACAGTCTTTTTTTTAAAAAAATCATTTATTATTTGAAAGCCAAGTTAGAGGGAGGGGAGTGAGAGACAGATCTCACTCTGGTTCATTCCCCAAATGGCCACAATGGTCTTCACTGGGCCAGGCCTAATACAGGGGCCAGAAACTCAATATGGGTCTTCCATGTCTGTGGCAGGGGTCCACGCATCTGAGCCATCTTCTGCTGCTTTGCCAGGCACATTAGCAGGGAGCTAAACTGGAAGTATAACAGCTGGGACTTAAACCTGTGCTCATATAGGATGCTGGTATCATGGCAGCAGCCTAAGCCACTGTATCACAATGCTGGCCCCATATTTCCCTGATATTCCTCTAGAGTCAATGTAGTCATTGCTCTAAAATAATGGCAGCTTATTATAATGGCGTCTTTCAATTGGTGTTGAAATCCAAGGAGAAACATCCCAATGTCTGAAGAGATTTCTTATTTGAGGAGTATATGCAAGATCTAAGTAAGACTGTTGGTATTTTTAAGTTTAATGAGAAAAAATATGGTGTTTGACCAAAGTGATAATAAAATTCTGAGTTATAATGCCATGCAAAATATTGTCAGCATTGATTTCTTGGTGTCAAGTCCCTAGTCTAAAATCTTTGGATGTTGGCATATCTGGCAATTAAATACCTTTAATTCAACACTTGTTAAAGAATAACAAGATGTATTCTTAACAAAAGATAATGAGAGGTTAAGTCTGGATTCTTTAAATTCTTTTCCTACATTAAGTTACATCATCATAAGGTCATATGTCTGGATCATACTTCAGGTGTCACCTCTAGCCTCTCCAGCTCTCTGTTTCAATGATAAGTTGTGCTCCCTTATACTGATCTCCTAAAACTGTCTAACATGCACCTGTACATTTATTTTTTAAAGGAAACAGAGACTCTCAGGAAGGCAACTTTTGTGTGTGCCTGCTGCTCTAACATCTGGAATCTTTGAGAAGCCACATTGGTTTTTCCTTCCTTCCTTCCCTCTTCAAGATTACTTCCCTCTGACTTTTCTATTTCTTGGGGGCAGGTGTTGTAGCCCAGAGGTTTAGCTACAGCTTAGGAAGGCAACCTTCCATATCAGAGAGTCAGTTCAAGTCCTGGCTCCTGTTCTTCCAATTAATGTGCCTGGGAAGGCAGTGGATGGAAGCCCACATCCTTGGGTCCCTGTCACCTACAAGGGAATCCCTGGCGCAGCCTTGGCCATTGCAGACATCTGGGGAGTTAACCAGTGGATGTCCATCCACTCTCTTTCCATTTCTCTTTCTCTCCCTCTCCAACCCTGTCATTTTGACTTTTCAAATAAACTAATGCAATTTAAGAAGTCACCCTTTCTCTATACTTTTTTTCTATGAGTATCATAAAACAGTAGACTTCATTAGTAAACTCCTATTTCTTTGCCCCCATTTGCTTCACAGTAAAATTTGCTTTCTAGAGACATAGCTTTTTAAACTCTTCTTGTCAAAGTCACTGAATTCATTCATAAATGTCTTTTGTATTGTAATTTTTAATTTCCTGGGGTGATATGTTTATATCTCATTTTCTTTATTTTAGAAATATAGTCTATATGTAGTGGCTTTTAACAAGTTTTCCATATACAGTGAGATTCATTTTTTTTTTTTGTAGGAATGTTAGAACTTCCGATGATTGATCAAGTAGTAGAATGCCCTTTGGTAACCACAGGAATGCTGAAATAACTTAGTACTCTTACCAGCCACAGGTATGGTACGATTTACATCTAAGTTAACAGTTCAAGGGTAACCTGTAGTGGTTATTTACAAATGTGTTCTCTTCTTTCAACAAGTTGGATGAAACATTTACCATGAAATTTTTCCAGGGCGGCAGGTTGCCTTCCAATGATCTCAACCTCCTGTCATTAATAATACTCTGGTATAATTCCCTCCCATTGAGTAGGAGTTGTAAATATCAACTTGAGTAAAGAGTAAGGTAGGAGTCACAGGATGTCTGTCTCTCTGACAGATTGCTTGCTAGAAGGAAGCCTGTTATCATGGCTTGAGACAGCTTTGTAGGGAGGTCCAATCAAAAGCCAGCAAGAAGATGCTATGTGTAGTGCAACACCTGATCCAAGTATAGGCATACCCTAGAGATGAATCTTCATATTAAACTGGAGTCCTTGCTTGGGATCTTGACTTCAAACTTAATGAGAGACCTTGTGTCATAAGCAACCAGCTAAGCTATATTCCTGACACTCAGAAGCTAGAATAACAAATCCTTGTTGTTTCAAGTCACAAAAGTTTGATGATATTTGTCATGCAGCAATAGATGAATAATACAAACCATTTGGCTTTACTTCAGGGGAATCTCACTTCTAGAAAATGCATCACCCATATCTGTATTATTAGAAACTTGTGACTCTTCTCAATGATATGCTATTCTTTAGTCAGTTAAACTGCAAGATTTATTTATAATTATCCAAAAAGTAACAGGTGCAATACTCCCCTGGTTTACAGATGAATGAAGGTCTGAGCAGAATATATGGAAAGAAGAAAAAAGTTTGAATTACAGGCACCATCTCCCTAATGAAGTGTTTTTGGTTAGAAGTTAGTAGGCAGCATGGCTGCTGTGCCCTTCTGAAAGGGACTCAGATAATAGATTTGATGCCCATCCTGCAACCTTGAATTATCTAATAAAGCAGCGAAGTGGCACAGGGCTGAACACAGTACAGGTATTCCAGGAAATGGAGAGCTATCTTCCTCAGCCCAACCCCTGAAACAATCAGCATGGCGTTAGCAGAAAAGTAACCTGAAGACCTATTGACAATAAAGAGAACAAGAATAATGATTGGGAAGCTTTTTGCCTATAACATTACCCTTGGTGTCAGCATAAGCACACAGAACTTTTAAGAGGAAACTCTAAAAGAGCCACACGCTTAGGCAATTGTGTGTATATCTGCATCCTGTCATGGTTTTCACTGCACTGAATTGATGGCTACTCTTGTAGCTTTCTAAATGCTTTTCCAGTCTGTATTCTGTTTTCCAATTATTTTGCCCACTCCTATGATATCTACTTGTCTAAATCAAAGATCTCACTATTTTTTTTGCCTACATAATAACTCACCCACACGGCTAAATAAGTGTCACATACTTAGCTAGGGTTTCATGGCACTCCAGAAGTCTTCCTGAAGAGCAGTAAGACAGACAGAATCTGTGTCCAGCTTCTCCAATTGGAATTATGGCTTCACTACTGGCTATCTGGTGGGCATTCTAATTAAAATATTTGTATCTCAGTTTCCAGGTCTATGAAACAGGACAATGATATTAACTGGTAGAAATGTTTATCGTGAAGCTTACAAGAGAGTAAATCAGAAGGGTCTTGATGCAGGATGAGCACTCCGTAAATATAAGCTATTAATTTATCGCTATTTGAAATTCAGTGTAATCTAGAATTATGAGTTTCTACCATCTGATAGAAGATATTATTTATGCTATCGCAGTTTTCTGAAACAGGAATTGTTTTTTTTTCTCATTTTATAGAACAGAATACCAAGAGCCAGACCTTCTATGTGATTTCTCAAAAGTATTATAATGACTGAGTACTATAACCAAGTAGCAGCTAGTCCCTCTGATTTCTAGTTGAGGGCACTTTTCTCTTCTAAAAGCTATCTTCCTTGTCACCTACTGCTCTACTGTGAAGAGTATGGGTTACTAGTGTCAGCTATGAGTTTGAAGTCCAGCACTTGGCAATTTTATAAACATCTTGAAGTTCAGTTTTCTCCACTGCTAAGGATGTATTGGCATGTTCATTTTTAAAAGAGAATTATTTAGTTTAAATGTATATGATGTGCCCAAATTTATTAGTTTTGGTATTTTATTAACTTAAAACAAGACAGCACAGTCATCCTAAATTCCCACATTTTACCGTCTCATTCAGTGTCATAATCCGCACTGAGCTAATCCCTAACTCTTGTATACCCAGGACAGATCTTTTCCTTTGTTTTGAAGCATTACTTCCTTCACAAACCAAATATAGGTCCACCATCCCTTGTCTAAGATCTGTAGGCCTACATACACTTTCTTACTAACAATTTTGTCTTAGGTTAGAAAAGTATATCTCTTGTATATGATGTGCTACCACTGTAATCACGGGGAGCAAGATCCTGTCATTACACATGGCATTATTTTTGCTTTAAATGATATAAATCTTCATAGTCATGTGCATAAATGGGTTCATATCCATTCAAGTCATATATTCCCAACACATGTATTGCCAAATGATTACTTTTAGAACTTGTTGGTGTTAAACTTTTCTTGATTTTGGAATTGCACATTTGCTAATCTGCCCCACAGGGAATCCACTCTCAGTATTATATGCTAAGCTATCTTTTACTCATCTTGGCCTTCATTACGCCTGTCCACAGATTCTCATGGCAAGGGATGTATCATTTCGGCATGCTCTTTAGAACCTAGAACGTCCTTAAATTGTAGTACTGTGTTAGGCTACTTTATAAACAAGGAAAAGATCACACCGATATCCTAAACAGGTGGATGGTGTGAAAAGTACTTGACAGTATGAAATTATGGCTACATTCCTTTTCATCATTATTAATTTTTGCATTGAGACACTCTTCAAGCACATTTCTTTGGAAAGAAACAAGCTAACTGTGAAACCTGTTGATGGTCAACTTAAATCAGGATATCTGAGCAGTTAGACTTTGAAAATTTGGAAAATTTACCTAACGTCAATGTGTAAATTAGATAGCAGAGGAAAATTCTTAGCATCTTATTTTTGCATTTTTCAGGTAGGTCACTTAAAACAACAGTTGTGACATTATTTGACTGCAATTGTTGTCATGCTATATTGGTGAATCTGTCTCTTCTTAGCTATGACAGCCTTTACAGGAAACACGACTCGCTGTCATCTCACCTATGTGTTGTCCATACATGTGGTAAAAGAAGCTGAAACAGTATGCAGTGTTGGTCGGTCCGTACGGGTTTTTAGGAGCTATGCTGAAAACAGGGCTGAGAAGTCGAGCCTTTTCGCCTTCCAGTCTGGGTCGAGAGGTCTCAATGTACATATAAAAACCTTAAAACAGACAAAATAGAATGGTTAAATATATTATTAGGCAACGTGGCCTTTCAAGTCCTTAGGGATTTGTAGAATTTCCACGTACACTCAAGATCGATAGGAGGATCTGCATCTCCTATATCAACTCTTTATGTGTACATGATGAGCAGTGGCTTTAACAAAATGAATGATCTTGTTCATAAAATAAGGTATTCAATTAGAAGTTTATGGGCAATGTTGTGAAGCAGTGGGTTAATCTGCCACCTGTAACTCTGGCCACCCATATGGGCACATGCTGCTCCACTGTCCCTGGGAAAGCAGCAGAATATGGCCTGAGTGCTTGAGCCTGTGAGGGACTCCGGTGGGGTTCCTGGCTCCTGGCATTAGCCTCTCATTGTGGCCATATGGGGAGTAAACCAGCAGTGAAAGATCTCTGTAACTCTGTCTCTCAAATAGGAAAGGAAGAGTTATAGAGACAGACGAGAGAGGTCTTCCATTCACTGGTTCACTCCCCAAATGATGTAAATTTAGGCAAGAGCTGGGCTGATCTTAAGCCAGGAGCTTTTTCAGTTCACCTACGTGGGTGCAGGGGTCCTAGCACTTGGACCATTTTCCACTGCTTTCCCAGGCCGTTAAAACGGAGCTGGATCAAAAGTGGAGCAGCTAGGACTCAAACCAGCATACATAAGGGATGACAACACCGCAGGCAGAGACTTAACTTATTACACCACAGCACTGGTCCCATCAAATAAATAAAAAGTTTAAACAACGATTATATTTTAAAAGATTTACAAGTCTCTCAGCTATGCCAGTTCTAAGAAAAAAATATATGGTTATTGTACCTGACATTTATGTGGAATTCTATCTTCTAATAAATGGCTAATGATTCTTTGTATTTCCTATTCATAGCATTTATAAAACAACCTGATTTCTGTGAACACAGCACTTCACAACCTCATACCTTCTTTGGAGCCACTACGGTCAGCATTAGGTCCTGTGTTGGGGGTATATTTCGTATTTCTTGTTGCTGTACTTTGTTTTGTCCAGTCAAAATTATCTGTATCATCTTGCGTGAACAAACAAATGTTTCCATCTTCAAACCCACAGTGAAATTCCCCTGTTAACAGATTTTCAATATATTTTTAAATGTTAATTAAATCAATACAAACATTACAATACTATGATAAGGAAATTTAAAACATTGTACAGAAATAATTTTATCAGAGCTGTAACAGACCACAAGATTACAGCTAAACATAAAAACTAATTTTAATGAAGAAGAAAAATTGCTTGTAAAATTGAACATGACTCATGTAAGTTTCCTTTGAAATATCCATATAACTTAAGGAATATAGTTCATACTTGAGAAATTTTCCCAACTTTCATTTAGTAAATTTAGGGACAACAAAAACATAACTGTCAGTTAGATAACAGTCTTAACTAATCCAATTTTTCATGCCATGTCTAAAATTGTTTATGTGTACCCACTTACAATAATGAAAAGTTACTAGGGCAATGTGATAGCAACGTATTTTAGAAAATATTTTTCTTCACTTTCATACTTTGTGAGTTTGTCAGATGCTTGAATTCACTTGAAATGGAGGATTGAAAAGGTTCTATGAAGACTCTGATGCATAACTAGGATTAGATGCCTACCACACACTGAATTAGATCCAACACAAGGTCTGAGAGCAACTTTTTCATCTGTCCTGATATCTGGGTGGTAATAATGTTTCTAGGTATAAAGGTTTGGGTCTTATTTATTTTTTTAATTGGTGATGGCCCTACCTGAAAAATAAGTATAAGAGATTGATAAGCTCCATTAGATACAATGTACATCCTTGAGCAAAATGAAACAGTATATATTATTTCATTTGACCTAATCAAACTCTATGAAATTCCCCAAATACTTATTAAACTCACAGAGAGGCATTCTTTGGATAAAATCAGCTATTAAATGATAAATTCAAAATGACATCCAGATTAATGGCGATTTAAACTTTTAAGGAAAGCCGGTGCCGTGGCTCACTTGGCTAATCCTCCGCCTGTGGCACCAGCACCCCGGGTTCCAGTTCCGGTCGGGGCGCCGGATTCTGTCCCGATTGCTCCTCTTCCAGGCCAGCTCTCTGCTGTGGCCCGGGAAGGCAGTGGAGGATGGCCCAAGTGCTTGGGCCCTGCACCCCATGGGAGACCAGGAGGAAGCACCTGGCTTTGGATCAGCGCAGCGCCAGCCATGGCGGCCATTTATGGAGTGAACCAACAGAAGGAAGACCTTTCTCTCTCTCTCTCTCTCTCTCTCTAACTCTGCCTGTCAAAAAAATGAAAATAAAAAAATAAACTTTTAAGGATAAGGGACTCTGGTTTAGTTTTCCTGCCTTGCACAGTTGTGAAAAGATAGCTGAGTTAATTGGAAACAATGATACTTACAAATAAAAAGAAAATAGGTGGGCTTCCCATTACATTAAGGAATATGTTTTTGTCATGTCTTTTTTTCAGGTTAGACTGCTGTACTTCTTACTCATATTTTACATTCTGAAGAATGTAGGATTTAAGAAACTCTAAATCAGTAAGTTTCTGGATAAACAATATTCCACACAAATATAAGACATGTTTATGTCATAGATCTTATAATAAGATAGGACTTTTTGCTATTATCCATGAAAAGTATCATGCTGAAGTAGCAGTGCAGTTACATCCATGCATGATGTCTTTTATATTTAACACAAATTTCCCTTAGCTGCTGCTTTGGAGTACTGTGGATTACTGTAAATATTTTCGCCTACAAAATTATATATTATGTATACATAAAAAGATGTTAGAGAACATGTAAAGATTTTAAGATTATAATTTTAATAAGATAAAAATTAAGATTTGGATGCAGATCTATAATGATATTTATCCATCTTATTTTTAAAAATGAATAAAAAGCATTGTTTTACAGTGAGTTAAGACACAGCTTGCAATACTGGCATCCCATATGGGCTCTTGTTGCAGTTCTCAGCTGCTCTACCTCCAGTCCAGCTTCCTGTGAATTTGCCTGAGAAAACAGCGGGAGATGGCCCATGTAGTTGGGCTTCTAGCTCTTAGCTCCTGTATTCAGCCTGGCCCAGCCCTGGCCATTGAGGAGTGAACCAGCAGATGAAAGGTGTGAACCAGTAGATGGAGGATCTCTCTCTCTTCCTCAAACTCTGCCTTTCAAATAAATACATAAATCTTTTTAAAAAATGAATAAAAGCTTCAGAAGTCTGAATAATTGTCTCTCAAAGTAAAATTTAGGAATACTACAGCTTAACTTACTTCATGTATAAATTGTTTATGATATTGTAATTACTATAATCAAATCTGGCAAATATATAAGCAACATAAGTAACTCTTCATTACTTCTGAAGTATATAGTTAAAAAACCTATTACTGGAGAGATTTTCATAAACAGTTTATAGATATAATTGAAAAAACACTAGTTTGGAACATAATAATTTTATGACTGTATACTCAGCTTCAATGAAATAATTATAATTATGTACAAGGAAGTTGACTCATAAAACATGCATGGGAATATAGAATATTTGATAAATAATGAAAATGTACTCAGCTGTATAAATTTATCAAAAGAACTCATAAAATAGGAAAGTAATAGAGTCTAGGGTTTTTTACAGTTTTTCTAATTAGAACCTGATTTTGGTAGAGTTTTAGAGGTCACATGGAAATAATAAAGAGATTTCAAATAGTTCACATTACAAAATAGCTAAACTTTTGTTATCTTTTCTTGAACCTTTCCCAATGTGATGATGACTCTTCAGGATTCAAAAATAAGAAGCCTGAGGGCCGGCGTTGTGACACAAAGGTGAAGCCTCCACCTTTGACACCTGCATCGCGTATGGGCACTGGTCCAAGTCCTGCTGCTCCAGCTCCCTGCTGAGGCCTGGGAAAAGCAGCAGCAGATGACGCAAGTGCTTGGACCTCTGCCACCTATGTGGGAGATCCACATGAAGCTCTTAGCTCCTGGCCATTGAGGAGTGAACCAGCAGATGAAAGACCTTCTCTCTCTAACTCTGACTTTCAAATAAATGTATCTTCAAAAAGAATAGTAAGTCTGATACCCAGCAACCCTCTTGCAACTACCCTCTTCAACCCTTCCTTAGAACCTGCAAAAATCTAACCTTGCAATAAAAATAAATGCTCTCCTGCGCTGACATTTTAGAGTGGATTTTCATGGTAAGTCCATTTTAGTTCAGAGTGGCTTTCCAGAGATAGGGCAGTTTTCGGGCATGGGAATGTCTGGTAGATACCTACTATGTCATCTTGCACTGATAACCTTCAACAGAAAGCAAAAGACAATTTTCCAAAAGCACTGAAATTTGATAGTTTTAAAAATCTGTAACCTACATCAGACCAATCACATTGGGATTAAAGTAGAGATGTATGAAAGAAACACACACACACTTGGTTAAACCATTCCAGTAGTCACTGGATAATACTGTTTCATGTGATAATACTGTTTCAAGTGATAATACTGTTTCATTAGTGGAATATGGAAATTCAAAGTGATATGCAATCCCACAAAAGAAAAAAAAAACTGTAGTTATAGAAATACTAAACGGATTGGGAAAATGGCTGCACATTTCCATGTTCAGGAAAATTTATAAACATCAACTATCAATATTAAATAACTTGTCCCATGCACATATCCTCTTAAATTTAAAATTCACATTTAGTGCCAATCTTACTGAGGCTAGACCATTGTGTTTTACATTTAATAATAATTGTGATTAACAATTATTATTATGTATTGTCTACTTTTCTTAATTATGAAAGATAGTGACATTTTTAAAGTAAAAATATACTTACTCAAATGAGGATTTACAGGAGCTATAAGGAAAGCAAGAAAATAAGACAATGTTAGCATGCTTGAAGTAAATAAATGTCCAATCAGTGTCTCATAGTTCCTCCCAAAAACTTAAATGATCATCCCCACTGTGGCCATGGAGAATTATATCTGCAATTCATTTTGTTCTAGAGTATACCTTGGAGCTCAACAATAACCATCTCAAAGAACCAAGAGGATCAATGCTAAATAGCATAGGGGAATTGCTCATTTCTAAAAGAATGGATTGCTGGGCTTTTACATCTTAAGCAGTGCTAAACAAACCCCAGAAATCAAATCTGAAGCTGACAGTAGGCCAACTGATGATGATTTGAAAGAAAGCAATATTCCAACAGAGCTTATACTACGTTGTTGCTGTTACTTACATTCAGAAAAAATGGCATGGCATATGTGAAAATAATTTGCATGCCATGTAATGTGTCCCAAAACAAATAACTACTTCCATCCCACTTTGTCACACACACCCCCACACACAACTTGCATGCATGTGAGTTTTCAAATGATAAGCAACACATTTTACATTTTGTGCAACAAAATAAACATTTGGGTTATAAAACTGCATTTACAATATTACTGTTAACTGCTGTCAAAAGAGAAGTGAATAAATTTCACTAAAATATGGACAGAAATAAATGTAACCTAAGAGACAAAATGGTATGTGTATGTATTACTTAGGTATTTAATCACTCAGAGAAAATTGCATTCCGGTTGAAGAGAGCATTATTGTAGTCTCCTTAGATTACAAAAGGTAGTTAATCTACCCTTCATAACTTTCTCTATTTAGTCATTTTATTGTTACTTCTTATTTGCCTTTATCTAACCTGTGCGTTACTAATGAAGTATGAAGGAAAAAACAGCTGCACAAATCATATTCTTATTCAGTTACTGCATTAACACACTGGGATGAATTTTAACAATCTGATTTAGCTTCTCAATCATAGTTACTATTTCAATATATACAAAGGAAATGCTATTACCTTGATTACTTTTCTGATTTTGCTTTCAGATTGTAAATTATGAAATGAGTAATATAGACAAAGAATGGTATATTTACTAGTTCCACTGAAGTGAACTAAAAACAATTCCTTTTCCTGCCTGATACTAATAAATTTTATTTTGAAAACTCAAATAGTTAAATTTAGTTATTTCTGTGAAATATGTGTCAATGAAGTAAGCATCTCCGAATTAAAATTTAGTTTTAAGAAACATCATACCTACATGCAACCTCTGTTGATGCCTAGTCCCCAGTCTGACTGTGCTGGGAGCTAGGGCCTTTAGTGAAGTAATGGAGCTTAAATGGGATCCTAAGGGTGGGACTCAAATCCTGGTGCCCTTGTAAGGAGAGGAGACACTGAAGAGCTCTTTGTGTGCCATGTGATGCATTGTGAGAAGGCTGCAATGTGCAAGCCAGGAGAGAGCAGGAAGCCAGCCATGCTCCCTCCTTGATCTTGGACTTTGCATCTTGCACACCTGTAAGTAATAAATTTCTTTCTTTCTATTTTTTTTTTTTTTTTGACAGGCAGAGTGGACAGTGAGAGAGAGAGACAGAGAGAAAGGTATTCCTTCCTTCCATTGGTTAACCCCCCAATGGCCGCTGCCGCTGGGGCACCGTGCTGACCTGAAGCCAGGAGCCAGGTGCTTCCTCCTGGTCTCCCATGCAGGTGCAGGGCCCAAGCACTTGGGCCATCCCGCACTTAACTCCCGGGCCACAGCAGAGAGCTGGACAGGAACAGGAGCAACCAGGACAGAATCCGGCGCCCCAAATGGGACTAGAACACGGAGTGCCGGCGCCGCAGGCAGAGGAATAGCCTATTGAGCCACGGCGCTAGCCCAAAAACATTTTAAATTTACTTTATTGCTTAAGAATTTTTATTAAGAATTCCTGAACTGCTATATTTTTTAAAATTCCTCTTTAGAGAAAGTCATAAGGACCTCCAAAACTCAAAGAAGTCAAGATCATCTGCAATAGAGGGGTGGACAGTAGTTCCAGTCAAGGTATATTATTTCACAGCTGTTTAACTTTGGAGGATACCAAAACTTCCTATTTTCTAGTATTTTCCATCTTTTAAAAGAATGAAAATTAATGCCTGGTTTCTAATGTCCTCCTTCAAATAGTCCACAATTTCTAACTCAGAAGCAGGAAAATAGTATGTAAGAGGATGTAACAAATATTCTATAAAAATATAAAACATAACAAATGTTTGTAAAATACATGAAAAATTTCATAACATTTATGAAACAAAATATATAAAATATATGAATCGAAATAAATGTAGATAGACTTCTCAGTGGAATCATGAAGCTGATTACAATATAACAATTGCTACTATGTGTTTATTTTTAACTCCAATACAAAACATCCACATATTCGTGAAGGACTATACTTGAGAAGAGATATCTTTATCCTAATGTTTTCATACAAATATCTCAGTCTTTATTATATATCCTAACACTTCAGTGAACATTGAATATACAATTTAATTGGTCTTAATAGTTTCATTTAATTTTTCACTTCTGACATTATTCATTGTTTCCCTGGGAAGTAGGAAAACTACACCTAATGTAAGACAGTGGAGTCCTTCAACTGCAAACAAAATGAAGGCTTTTGTTACCTTTTCAATGACAGCCCTGATAATTAAAAAGAATGATATCCCACTGAAGCAATGAAATAAATATGACATATTTCTTAGTGATTCCTTAATACTGAAAAATTCTACAGATAGTCAATGATCATTAAAGTTTTAAAATGCATAAATATATCAATTTATATTCACCTCTTTAAAAGACACAAAAATAATAGCATACCTTTAAGTAAATGCCATTATTTTTCTTCGAACTAGTCTAGATAAACGTTTTAGATCACCTTGTAATTTTCTCACATTTCTAAGCTAATTTCTATTTTTGCTTAAATGTGAAGAAATATTTTATGCCTAGGTTATAAAGGTAAACTAGACCAACACATACACACACACACACACACACACACGACTTTTAAAATACTAGTAAGGCTCTTGGCTCTGCTCTCCTCTCTCCTCTGCTCTGCTCTATCTTCTCTCCTTGCTAGCTCCTCTCCTCTCTGTTTCTCTCTTATATTCTCTTTCTCCCTTTTTCCTTCGCCGCCCCTTCACTCCGGTCTGTAGGTTGTTCCCCAATAAACCCTTTCCCTTGCAAAAAAAAAAAAAAATACTAGTAACTTGAAAAAAAAAGAACCATCAACAAAAATACACACAGCAACTCTGATGGCCTTCACAAACTGAAAGGATACGCTAACTGTGGTATTGTTACCAACAGTATATTATTTAACAATAACAAGAAATGAGCCATTAAGCCACCAAAACACCTTGGAGAAAACCCAGATATGCATTGAAATTAGCAAGGCTAACAAGTCTTCTGGCAGTACAAATCCAGCTATGCAACCTCTGCAAAAGGAGAAGCTACAGATACTGATTGTCAGGGCTAGAGAGGGCAAGGAGAAGCAGACAGGTGGAACGCAGGGGAACTGCACGTCAGTGAACCTTCTGTACGGTATTCTAACTGGTGGACAAATGACATCATATGCTTCTCAAAATCTACGTAACTGAACAAAAAGAGTAAGTTCTAATGAAATATATGAACTCTAATAACATTGGTATTTATGAATCAATTGCAAGAAATGTACCAATATGTCAGATATTAATAATGGAGAAACTGCATGGGGAAGGAATTTTGTATTTTCTGAATAATTTTCCATAAAGTGAAAATAGCTCTAAAAAATAAGTGTATATTTTAAAAACAGAAAAAAGATTTTGATCATATTTCTTAACTTCTTAATAGTATACACTTTAAAGTCATCACAAATTAGACAAAATCCAGAAAAATATTGCATCATGCATTGGGATCACATTTCTATCACAGAAGTGCAATGTCTATGAAATCATTATTGCATATTTCTACATTTGTAACCAAATACTACCATTTTTGGTGACTAAAGGTTTTCTGACAGTTTTCTGTTTGGTTACTTAGATGATTATCTAGAAAGTCAATAATCTGAATTTCACTTTTTATCTAAATTTGGTTGATAGTAGCATCATAAATGTTACATATATTTAACATGTGATTAAATGCTTTCAAATAAAAGGCTACTTACCACTATATTTGATCACACGAATTGTTGAATCTCCTTCACCAAATTTGGTAAGAGGAGTCAGTCGAACTTCATAAGCCTCTGGTTTAATTAGCTCTGTCAAGTTATATGTAATCAATTCTCCCTTCTGAATATTCCCATTTATTTTAATCTCCTGTTCCCACCATCGCTGCTGTCCAGCCTGAAATCAAAACAATTATATAATAATGTTCCAAGTGTTTACCTCAGAGGGACTTAGCGAGTTTTAAGAAAATGAAATAAACCTCTAAATTGTATTACATTTGAAAGGCATTACATAAATTTTATGAAAGTTTAATTCCCATAATAAGCAACAATTTTACAGATGTTTGCATGCAAATGTTTGCAGAAAACTGCCAAATTATTAGAGGTTAATTAAATAAATTTAATAGGTCATCCAGAAAGTTCAAACAAAATCCCGCTAATCAAAGTTTTGAGAGATGTAACTTTAACTACTTCTTAGTGACATATTAATGACATATTAAACTCTTGAGTACCTGCAACATCTTTATTATGTTAATAAACTATGTATTACATGTAAAACAGTTGTCAGTATGTATTGAGGGCATTAGTAATATACAGAAAACTGAGTCTTTAATGTCTAAGTCTATTAAAAAAGACAATAAAATAAATGTATACTATAACATGATTTGAAATATTCATATTGCAATAAAGGAAAATAAAAAGTGCCAAGGGGATTAAGAGTGATAAAGAGGAGGTTGGTATAGGCACTCTTTTTATTTTAGGTAGTCACAGGGCAGTTCCAAAAAAAGGATGTTAGAAAGTTAAATAAGAGGACAGCTAGGAATTGGCCGCTGGCTGGGCTTGACAGAGATCTTGAAACAGAGTGCCAGTGGAATGGAGAAGATGAAAACCTGATTGCAACAAGTGACGAAGGATCTTCACACTACTTTCCACACTAAAACACACAGTACTCAGACACCTTTACGGGAGAGTTAGACAAAATGGTCAGAAAGCACAAATTCTGATAATATATAAATTTTTCCAGAGATGTAAGAAAACTAACTTTCCAAATAACTTTAATGTAAACAACCAAGAAAAAAAATAAATGGCACTAGAAAAGAAAATTACATAACTGAAAACCAAATTCACCAGGTTTTATCAGCCATACTATATCCAAGCTGGTTTACCTTACCAGGATGCAAGAATTACTTAATAGTAGGAAGCATTTTAATGTATGTAACTGATAAGAGAAGAAAAAAAATACATTTCTCTTAAATAAGGTAAAATTTGACCAACTTCAACTCCTATTTACTATAAAACAGTAAAGAAGTTAGGAACTACATTAAACTGGTAGGTAAAAACCAACAAGTATTTATTGGATACTTTATTTGTAATTCTTGTACTTTAGAATGATTTCCTTGGGGCCAGCACTGTGGTGAAGAAGGTTAAGCCACCATCTGCTACACCAACATCCCATAAGGATGCTGGTTCAAGTCCCATCTGCTTCACTTCCAACCCAGCTCCCCGCTAATGCACCTGGGAAAAGATGGTCAAGCACTTGGGCCCCTGCATGTGCATGGGAGACATGAAAGAAGCTTCTGGCTCCTGGCTTTGGATCAGCCCAGACCCGACTGTTACGGCCATCTGGGGCTTCTAGCAGATGGAAGAACTCTATCTCTGCCTTTCAAATCTCTCTTTCTCTCTGTAATTCTGCATTTCAAATAAACAAATCTTTAAAAAAATAATTTCCTTTAGAACCACAAATGAAAAAATAAGCTAAATATCATGTGTTGAAAATTCCACTTTATGAAACACATCTCTAGGGTTGCTACAAAGAAATCAATCTGTGTATGTGTGTGTGTGTGTGTGTCTCCTCCCCTCTCCCTCTTCATGTAAATGTTTGGTTTTCTCATCCCCCCATTTACTTCAGACTTACTATATGTCTTTTTAAGACTTTTACATGGTCTTCATTAAATTTATGCATGTAATACATGAGATTGTTAATAAGTAATTCATATATTTGCTGTTATAACATGGGATTTTGTTTTATTTTAAGCTATTTTTTCTAGTCCATATAATTGTGATTTTTATTTTTTCCTATATTCATATATATGTATTTGTATGTGTGTGGTGTACATATGTAATAGTTTATCTAGCTCTGCTTCCTTATTATCTGTCATCAGTATAGCTACCTCATAGCAGGTATCTGCTACTTTTCATATTTGATATCGATGTTGTTGTTTCTTGTGACATTATCATACTAGCAGGAGACTGGAGACTACTGGGATAAAGAAAAAGATTTGTAACATGACAGACCTCGTAAGCTGTGTGCTAGGTTGCTTCCTTTTGCCCTCAAAGTCCCATGGAGGTAACACAGAAGTGCCAAGGTGAAGAGACAACATGCCTTGGTTGTGCATCATATGTGAGGGAGGCCAAGGTCAGGAAATTTTAGCATTTTAAAATTTTTAAGAAGATTTATTTCTTTGAAAGTGAGAGAGAGGGAGAGATCAACTTTTCTTACATCTGCTGGTTCAAGTGGCTGCAACGGCCAGAGAGGAGGAGCCAGGCTAAAACCAGAACTGCATCCAGGTCTCCAAAGTGGGAGGCAGAGGCCCAAGTTCTTGGGCCATTTTCTGCTGCTTTTCCCAAACCGTTAGCAGGGAGCTGGATCAGAAGTGGAGCAGCTGGAGCACCCATATGGAATGCCAGTGTCATAGGTAGAGGCTTTACTCACTCTGCCACAATGTTGGCCCCAGTATTTTTTGCTTGAAAGGAACCAAACTTCCGAATCAATGCCCAGAAAGGATACACCTTTATTTACTGGACATCAAACTTTACTTCTAGTATAGACACTATTCTAATATTTGCAAATGATCTTGAAAAGACAGGCCAAATGCAAGAGGTCATGAAACACTCTTCCAAAAATATAACCTTGATGAATATATACACTGCTATAAGCATGGATAACAAACTGGCAAAAAAAAAAAAAGTTACAATGAGAACAGGTAAACTCTTGTACTTGGAAACAAACGTATGCATGGCATATAAAGCAATATTATTAGTCATCTATCAAAAGAAGTAGAATGATCAAAATGTAGACTCCTCATAAAATAGGTATAAAATGCAGCCTAAAGAAAGAACCTAAGCTACGCATATCAACATGGGTGAGTTTCAAAAAGGCCATATTGGGCTAAAATTAATTTTGCGGCAGACATATTGTAAAATTTACGTTTTGAGACAGATGCATAGATCGGTTTCACAGTATAAAGAAATGCAGAAGGGCACAAACACCAAGGTGAAGGTTCTCATTATTCTGTTCATGGGCGTGTTGAGAAGACCTTTAAAGCACATACAAAGAACTCCAATGATATTTGTTGATTTTTGCTTCTTAAGATCGGTTGTCTATTTCCAAATTGCATTGTTTTGTTATGCCTGAAATTGTTTACATTATTTTTTAAAGAGAAAACTGGTGAATAACAGAAGGGTGGGTGTTTGACTTAGCAGTGACGACCCCACTTGGAATGCCAACATCCCATAGTTGGAGTGCCTTGCTTTGAATCTTGGATCTGCTCCCCATTCTAGCTTGGATCTGCTTCCCCAGCAGGCAGCAGGTGATGCTCAGGTAGCTGGGCCCTGCCATCCGTGTGGGAGACCAACTTCCTGGCCTTTGGTTGGTCCAGCTCCAGCTAGGTAGGATTTGGGCAGTGAACCAGTGGATGGGTGCTCTTTCTCTAACCGAAAAAAAAAAAAAAAAAGGAAAGGAAATTTGGAACTTTCTTAAACTTTGTTTCTTCTGATTTCTGAAGCAGAGCTCTCCCTACATCAGCATTTTTGATGACTTTTATGCACTTTCTGGACTGCACTTCATTCTTCTGAGTTCTAAATGTCGGTGTCTCCAAGATCATGTTTTGGTATTTTTGATACTCTGTATTAGTTGTTCTTACTTTTGAGTATGCATGATAGTTACTGGACAACCTTGTAAAAAGCCAGAATTCCAAGTCTTACCAAAAGGTAATTTACGCTTCAGTGAGATTGCAAAACACAGTTTAAAAGAAAAGCATCAACTCCTATCCCGCAAACAGATTTAGGAGCAGATAACCCAGGGTTCTAGTTGCTGAGTCAAAGCTCAGTCTCACCTCCTAATTAATGCCATAGGTTTCCTAATACCTTTACATTGATAACTCCTTAACCTGTTTCTTAAGATCAGATAATTTAAAAAACCTATCAATCCTTCTGTATGCCAAGCACTAGATTTAAATATATCATAAGTATTATATTTAATCTACCACAAAGCTTACTATGTAAGAACTAATATTAGCTCTATTTTATAAATGAGACAACAGAGGCACAGAAGGTTTATGTGTTTACCAAGCTTGAACAGCTGGAGAGCAGCAGCCCCAGAATTGGATTACACCTAAAATGACTCTTCCTTATGTCACTTTCTTTTTTGCTTCTCAAGAATTTACTATCTTCTTAATTGTTTTGAACAGAGCCTTTGCATATTTAGTTACGATAGAGCTATAGTACCGCTTTTTTGCATATAGGTTGTAAGCAAGAACTACTTTCTATTAATTTTTATACTCACATTCATGATTATCTTGGTAAAGATATATGTGTGTGTATATATATATATATATATATATATATATATATATATACACATGCTAAATTCCAGCATGCACTGCATATTTTACTGGCCTCAAACAGGTACATTAGGAAATCAAAGTTATTTCAGTGATAATTGTATAAAGTCACTGATTTTACTGTCATGTATGTTTATGACAGCATAGAAGAGATACCTTGGGAAAGGATATAAGCCTAAATTCCAAAAGAAACAATTCAGTATTCATGGATAATTATGCAAAGCTCAGAGCACATTTTACAAATATTTTTATCAATTCTGGAGGCTTAAATTCCTAAAGTAGTTTAAAGCAAATAATAATTTCACTATCTTTAGTTTTTACATTTTTATATGTATGGGTTAAAGGCAAAGTGCTGTTATTTCAACAGGCAGATAAAAGCAGTTTAAACCTACAAAACTGTGTACAGAACAATTGACATTTTACTAGCACCTTAAGACTCACAAGTTTAATGAAGATGTGCTTTTCCGGATGTTAATGTAATTTTAGTGTCACTCAATATCCGTAGTACATCCCACGAAAGAGATGGTAGATATTCTGTTGTTATAATGAGTTGCTC